GGGTGTGCGCCTGCTGCTAGCAGCTGATTCATCTGTGCTGCTAGGCATTCATGCACTGCTGTTAGTTTCTTTAGCCAGTAGGTGTGGATCATGTCCAGGCCAGGTGCTGTCCAGCAATTCATGTTCTTGACTTGCTGTTGAATGTCTACTACTGTGATAGTGACTGGTTCCTGTTCTGGGAGATTACTGTGGTCTGCTCTCAGGTCCTGCAGCCACTTTGCACTAGTGTTATGTATCATCTCTTTCTCCCATATGTTCTTCCAATACTGTCCAGTTTCTGCTGTTGGTGGCTGTGCTGTTACTTTGATGTTGCACTACAGTTGGGAGCCTTGGATGGTTCTTTGGAGAACAGGGCATTTATCTTCTTGGCCTCTGCTTCTCTAAGGTATCTCCTTAGCCTGGTAGCCAATGCTGAGAGCCTTTGTTTAGCAGTCTCTAGGTATAGACACACACACACACACACACACACACACACACACTTTTTAGACTTTTTTTAGACAGACTTTTTAGAACCTATAATGTTCATATATTAAAATATGCCCAGAGACCTAATAGCTAATAACTTTCTAATAATGAATACTTTTCATTAAATATCATTGCCAATGGATACTCAGCTTCTTGTGTGTTCCCTTATACATATGTGCTTAAAGTAAAAGAAAGATATGGCAATGATTCCAATTATTAGAGGTGAAAGAGATGAAATGTATAAAACTTAAATGGATATAAATTATCAATTTTTAAAATTCAATTCAGAATTATATAGTAAATCAGAGAATGTATTGAATGAAGATAATGAAGCCTTTTTAAATTAAATTAACCTACCATTTGCTCTACTATCTGAAGTGGCAAATAGCAAATGGTAAAACACCAGGATTGGATGGTTTTCCTATTGAATGGTATAAAACATGTACAGATCTTTTGGTGCCAAAACTTTGTCAATTGTACGATGAGGTATTTGATAAGGGAATTTTATCAGCAGTATTTAATCAGGCTTATATCACAGTTATACCAAAAGCAGGTAAAGATCACACTCAGTGTGCTAATTATTGTCCAATCTCATTGATTAATATTGATACAAAGATTTTAACAGCAGTGTTAGCAAATAGATTACAGCGAGTGATATTGTTTGTTATTAAAATGATCAAGCAG